TTTGCATCCTTTTTTCTTTGTAATTATGTATCAAAATAATTTTTAAAAGGAGCTAGCAAAGAACGCATTGGCTATTCTCTCAAATTGGGCATATTTGATTTTGTTAGAAAATAACTTGTTAGATTGTTTTGAATAGATCTGAAAATTGATATGCTTTAATAATCAGGTACAAAAACATACACTCCATCCTATTTTGTCTTAGAATAACTATATAAATATTGGTGTTATATATTCATAGTTTTACCCCAGTCTAGCATATGTTTAATGTTTTGCTTAGAAATTGACTTGGAAAATTTTGTATCTTACATTTATATGAATAACATGTGAAATACCTTAAAACAATTTTGAGTCCTTACAATTCAGCACATTTATTTAATTATTTAAAATATTTTACATGCTGGATTTAGGGCATGTTCTTGCAACAGTATATAACAGTGAGATCAAATATGTGAAGATGTTAATCCATTAGAAAACTATTCTGACAAAGCACAGAGAATCAAGAATCCATATTATCGCATATAGTCAAAAAACAGCAATCTAAAATTGATGAGTATTTGGTGTACATTTGAAGTTCTGTCCTATAGGGTCAGTTCTTAGTAACATACAAAGGGAGTCCCATAGCTGTGGAGCAACACTGGGAACATTCTTTCTAATATCCACAAACAAATTTTATCATTCTGAATGCAAAAAAACCCAGAAAGCTTAACTTAATCCAGGTAATAACTTCAGTAACTTTCACTCCATCAGTAGCTTGAACATAGAACAATCCATAGGATAATTTTCTGGACAATAGCGTGAAACCAAACAGAACCATATAGTCAATTGACTATTCCATACATTCACATGTCTCTACCATGTATATATGCCAAGTCCATACCTGTTCAGATCTAACAGTAGAGGCTCATAACTAATGGATTTAAATCCAGAATTTCTCAACAAATATCCACCAAATGACATAAAATAGATTAACAGGGGCATGCTGGTTTCCAGGAATAATCATCTATAAAACTAGCCTGGTGGGATGTTGTGGGGGAGGGAAATAACAATTGCTATCTGCTACTCCCAACTAGAATCACTCAACTGCATCATTCTGGACAATGACTCTTCTCTTTCATAAATGTTGTACAGTAGTCCTTAACTTGTTTACTGACAGCCACTTAATGTAAAACAGCCAACGGTTAAGAGAAAGAAGTGGGAACCATTCCAGTTTTTAATATGCCCTTCTGTTACTTTAGTTCTTATCATTTTAACCTGGGCTGTTCCTCATTTTCCCCAGGATTTTGGATATATTAGCATTTTAGTCCATTCAGTCTGATAAAGGCCATGCAAAATAAATAATTGATTCTCGTGTGTTACTCGTGTGACTTCTCAGCAGCATTTGTGCCCATTGCCCGTAGGGGCTGGTGCTGATAAGACTTTGCATGTAACAGCATTTGGAGGGAATGGATAGAAGAGAACACACATCCCAACATTTGGGAAAGCCAGGAAAAAAATAAACAGGAAATACTCAGTGAAGAGACAAGAATTCCAGGGAGGTAGCAGATTGTCCTGTTCTGGATGGAATTATACTGCTCCAGAAGGAACAAGCATGCACTCTGGAGATGCTTCTGGATCTTATTTCCTACACTAAGGTAACTGCCAGGTGTGCTTTCTATCAGCTAATATGCCAACTGTGACCTCCCCTGAAAGGAAATGTTAAAACAGTAATACACTGGTTTGTACTGTCCATACATGAGTAATGCAGTACACTCTATGTGCAGTTTATAAGGAATATTGGGAAAATACACATGAAGTATTTTGGATATTTGAATGTTTCATGTGTATCATTTAAACCACTGAG